CGAGGTAAATTCGTTCGATACACTGGCGGAGTGAGATGATGCCCGATTTTGTTGATGATCGACGTTGGATGTTATCGTTCTGAATGGAGATCCTCGAATTTTCAGGGGCCCCTGAGGATGAGTAGGGGTCAACCGAATATGAGGGTCTGCCTCTTTTCGATGACGAGGGGTCAACCGCATATCAGGGTCACTTGAATATGAGAGTCCACCTCTTTTTAATGACGAGGGGGTCTTCCGAATATGAGGGCCACCTCATTTTGAGGACGAGGTTATCGCCACTATGAAGTACGATGCTACATTGGAGAAGTTTCTTCTCATCGGTAAAGCAGAAGCTGGGGATTGTGGTTGACATCTTGGCGAGGATGTCGAGGGCGATGTACGCACATGACTGGTGCAACATAAGTTTTAGGCATCGTGTTGCTTCCCTATGCCGCCTTCGTTTGTCTTCACACATTCACATGCTTGACGTCTTCAATATCAAGCATTAATTTGACGCCTTTCCACGGTGATAATTCTGATGGAGACGAGATAGTGCCGGAAACGTGGGATAATATTCTTTCTCATGTGAGGGAGAATGATGGAGACGAGATTGCGTTTGCCTTTCTAGACAAACATTATCGTATGACATTATATTGGTTTAATTAATTTATATATTTCTTTTATTCTATTATTGATTCTAGTTTTGGCATGAAGTATATTTAATTATAGGAAAGATAATTTAACATAGTCCTTCTCCTTGGGAAATAGGTTATTTATTTAGAGTTGATTGGAAATCTATCTAAGACTCATAATTTTTTGATTGGAGGAAGTTGAATTGATTAACTAATTAAGAACTCTATTGAGGTGGTGCAGACCATATATTGATCATGTGTGTGTGTGTGTAAACACCTTCATATTTGCTTCTTTGCTTTGGTGTACCTCAAAAATCTGGAAGGCATTGTAATAGATACATCAGAACCAATTAATATCATGTAATTAAGAAGGTTGTCTTAATGTCAAATTAAATTATAGAATTCCTCTATATATGTGACTTGTGAGAATGAAAAGATTTGGGTTACATCAAGAATTAATGAGCCTTTTATTTTTTTTAGGCAAATGTCTGATTTCACAATCAAGCATTCATTTCACAATGTGGCTTAATGCTTTTTTTTTTTTT